TTAATTTTAGATACAAAATTTAGCTTTTTTTTATAATTTTTCTATATGTGAATTTTTTTTAAAACTAAATTTATGTTAATTCTACAATAAATTATATAAATTACAACTAACTTTCACAAAAAAATAAAAATGCAAGCATATAAATTTTTAAACAAACAATACAAATGAGGATGAGAGTGATCGTAATGCACCAATTCAAGATGCATTGGAAGGTCCAACTCCGATCGTAGACAATAGACGAAAAATATCAATTTCTAACTCGATATAAAAAAATAAAGGACAAAAAACTCTGTTTGAACTACGTAATACATTACTAGAGCATTTATGGGAGCATCGTAGTGATTTTGAAAGTTGAATATTAATGTATAATCTAAAATAATATTTTCAATTATGTAATATTTATTTGATTGTATTTCATTAATGATTTCACTTTTATATGTATTATCCATTATTATGTATAATATTTAATATTTGCTAGAAATTCATATTGTTCAATTAATTACAATGCAAAATAATTTTACCAAACGATTATAATAAGTAATATGAATCATATATGGTGAATATAAAATAAAAAAATATAAATGAAATAAAAATAATAAAATATAATAATGGTGAGAGAGGAAAATACTCTTTTTTTTTATATTTGATGCTGACACTAAATTAATATAAAATTTGATGTTTAAATTGAAAATACTCTTAAAATAGAGTATCTCGTAAATTTAATGATGCATTAATTAACCCTTAAAAAAATGATGGAAAATTTTAACATTGGAGGTGTGTGGCCATCCACTTAGCTCCTATAATTTAAAGAAAAATATGGAGATTAGGGTGACAATCAAGGCTGTTGAAGTGACGATTGAAGGCAGCCAAAATCTCATCTGCCTAACAATAAAATACTCAAAATGTGGTTGAGCTCATTCATCTAATTAACAATACAATATTAGAATTGGTCTTTTAGTTATCTCCACTATATTTAATATATATATATATAATAAAAAAAAAAACTTATCAATTCAGAAAGAGATGCCATGCCTTAAATTTTTTTTAAAAAATATTTTTTTTATTTGAAGTTTCTTACTAATTAATATGATGAGAAAAGCTAAGACAGCTAGCTACTTTATTTGATTTATTTATTTTTTAGAAGTACAGAAAATTTGTACATTTAAAGCTAATTACATCGAATTTCAAAAGTTAAAAATTATAAATTTTTCATTGCTCTCAAATACATTTCTTGATTGTCTTATACGTTACAAATGATGTTCGAGAGGGATAGGGAGGTACCTCAGAGAGAACTTTTGTTACTTTTTAAAGTAATAGAAAATTTTAAAGATTATTATATCTAATTTTACTTATTTTAATTTAGAAGAACCAATTATGGAAGGAACTTTTGGTAATATAGTTGGACTCATGTCTTAAATTCCTACTGGGCCATTTTAATGGGTTAGTGAACAGTTGGACTGTTGCAACTAATCTTTGGGCTATAATAAGCCCATAATATTTATTTCTGTTCAGATAAATTGATGAAACATCAATGCCAACATAACAATAGAAACTTATATTTTGATGGACATTTGAATGTGAAATCTCTTGATTAAAGCATTATCAACATTAAATATATATGTTTAACGTATATTTATGTTTTTACAAGCGTACACTAGATCTAGTTTTGAGGTATATTTATTCAAATGTATCTTAAAACAGTACTCACGAATTACGCCTAACAGTATAAGACAAGAGGACAGTATCAACCATTGCTGAATTCTATTTTTATGATCATTGAGTCTGATTTATGATAATTTTGATTATGTATAAATTTAAATATTAATTTGATTTTTAAAACATATTTTGAATTTTTTTTGCAATAGTCATGTTATTAAATTGGTAGTGAAAATTTATTTTTGAGAGTAATGATCATGAAAGCTAACTTAACAAAGTTGAGTGGACATCTAAGTTACTATCTCTATTTTGAGTTGTTGATTGATATACATGATATTAACACAGAGAACTACACAAATATTTTAGTAAGAATAATTAAGATTAATTTTTGGATTATTGACATAATAAGGACCCTAAATAATTAATTTCATGATTTTTGTTGTGCTCATAATTAATTAGGAGATATTGTTTCTCGGTGAAAACAAAAGATCAAAAGCGTGTTTTGGATTTATTCTTGGAATCAAAAAAGGCATCTATATAATTATATGAATCTTTCCAACTCAAAAAGATATCAGTTCTCAAGCAATATGCATCATTTAAGTATTGACAGAGTTGGACAATAATTTAGAGATCACTACAAAACTACAGTTAAATTTGCTTTGAACTATTTACTCATACTCTAAAAGGTCGTACATCTAGTATTAAGTTATGTTCTACTTATTTGTTATTTATGCAATAGCAATACCAATTTTGTATTTGATTTCACTAAGCATATTTTCCAACACTCTTAAGAAATAAAGTTATCAATATATACGTATAATGTAGCTAGATTTTCGAGCTACCAAGCTCTATTATGGACAAAACTAAGGCTGTGTATCGGCCGATTCGGTTCGATTTTAAAGTTTGTCGGGTTGGCTTATAGGTTATCGGTTTGTAAAGATGCTAAATCGTTATAGAACCATTAAGATATTGGCTTATCGGTAATTGGTTTATCGGTTTTTGATCATTATCGAATCGGTTATCGGTTTAACCGTTAAGATTTGACACAAAAGAAAAAACATTGAAAATCACTTAGAAACAAGGTGACAAACCAAATAAACCATGCACTTGAGTTCACAAGTTACATCTTACTTAAAAGCAAACACTTTTACATTGTAGAATAATCAAGTATTTGAGACAACCAAAAATAAAAGTAGGAAATTAAACACCTAGTCAAGGACTTTATATAAAAAATGGTATAAATATAATTATTTAATTACTATCGGGTTATCGATTAACCCATTAAGAAAAGACTTTAAACCATTAAGAAACAATAACCCGATAATAAAAAAAATTAAAACCGATATTAAAACCACTAAATCAATAACCAACTATAAACCAATAACATTTTTATTGGTTCGACTTATCGATTTCGATTCAATTGTGAACCGCCCTGGACAAAATATTCTATACTTGCTTGTTGTAAATATAATTCTTATATATTCAAGGATACAGTCATCTTCTTAGGTTCATTTCTTTAATAATAACTTTTTATCATGACAAAACATTATATCTTATTCTTGAAATAGCTTTTGTTGGCAATTATATTTAATATTAATTCTAAGGTAGTAATAGGCTATTGCCACGTATTTTTAGTCACTGCAATCAATTTTAACAAACAATTGATTATTATTGAATATGTTTGACAGTTGCCAATTTTATCCAATTTTTCTTGACTATTTATATTCGTATATCTGCATTCGCTCCGACTGAAATTATTTTTAGAGGTTATAAATAAATATATTAATAAAGAGTATTAAAAATTTTATTATTATTAATTTAAGTGTTATTAAATTGAATGTTGCTAATATCTTTAGGAATATATACAAAAAATATTAATTACTGCTAAAAATATATATTTAATAATAATTAATAATTAAATATCATTAAAACTCATTTTTAATAAAAATATATATTTAATAATAATTAATAATTAAATACTCCTAAAACTCATTTTTTGATACAGTGATTGTTGAGAAGAATAGGGACCAAAAAAAGTCAAGAAAATTCTTCCTCTTATATATTTTTGTGTTGAATTTTCCTGTTTATTGAATCTTGATTATCTTATAACTTTAAATTTTAATTAGAAGAGCTTATTGAATCTTAGAAAATATATTTATATTAATTAAAATATACTTTTAATATACCTCAAATTTTAATTAAATTCTCACAAGATCAAATATTATTAGCAAGATTTCCATAATACACATTTTAGCTTCTAACAATGTCAAGGCATTAAAAAAAAATCCGCCTATCATTAATGCTACTCTAATATATGTAACAGAATTTCCATGATTGAAAAGGCAAGTAAATTTTTGAGTGGGGTGGGAGTATATATTTTTTTTAAAAATAGAAAAGAAAATAAAAAGATTAATTTAGATTATTAACTCGCTTATGTGTAAGTGCAAATATACACTACAATTTGCCAAGTCTAAGATATTTTTACCAATCTCTTTTTGTATATTTTTTCCCCTCAAAACCCTAGTTGTGCAACATCTCCTAGCAAATTCTAGAAATGTTAGGACATAAGCTTGGTATGAATTAAGTTATGTTTCTTACTAAAATAAAATAAAAGTTATGAACTTGTTATATCGCGTAGTATAATATGATACATAAATATGAGTTTAAATTTTTTAAATTTATTCTTTTGCTATTAGGGGTATTTTTGGCCATTATTTATTACTTAAAATGAGTCAGGCCACAAATTAAATATGCTGAGTTTGTAGTAAGAGCGTACATTCGATTTTATACTATTCGATTTGAATTTTTGATTTTTGGTTAAGAAGTGTAACCCAATTCAAACCAAAATAAATTTGATTTGGTTTAGTTTGATTTTTCTCTTTTTGGTTTGAATTTTTTCAGTTTGATTAATCAGTAATGTCAATAGTAAAAAGAGAAACAAAGTTAAATATATTTGCAACTTAAAAAAAATTATATATATATATATATATAATTATTATTATTAAATTTCTTAAATATATTTTTTTAATATAAATCACAAGTAAAACGTAAAATATATCAATTATTTGATATTCAAACATAAAAAAATAAACTAAATCTTAATAAAAATAACTAAAAAAGAACAAAAATAATTAACTCCAACTTAATAATATATATATATATATATATATATTCAATTTTTTGATTTTTAATTTTATATATCCAAAACTAACCAAAAATTCAAAAATGAATTCAAATTAAAATTTAATTTAATTTTTCAATTTAATTTGAATAGCACACACCGACCTAAATTACCCCCGCCTCCAGCCCCACGCGCCCACCCTTCTTTATATATTGAAGCAATAATACATTTTTTTTATTGTGTATTCAGACTAAAACGGCGGCGCTACTACCCCACTGTGGTAGGGCCCAATGTCGGAGCACAAAAAGGGCGCTCTATTCAGATACAAATCATGGTCTCCTGACATTCAACGTGAAGAGGTTTGGCTCAAACGCAGGAAGAAGCACTTTCAGCGTCTCGACGCCGAACGCCGTTCATTGAGCCATCTCACCGCCGAACGCCTTTCATCGAGTCTCAGCGCCGATGAAATCCGTCACTTGAGCCTGAGCAACACCGATGAACCCCGTTCATTGAGTTTCACCGCTGATGAACGCCGTTCATTGAGCTTCATCGCCGATGAACTCCGTTTGATGAGCTTGAGCAAAGGCGATGAACGCCGTTCATTGAGCTTAATCGCCGATGAACTCCGTTCTATGAGCCTGAGCAAAGGCGATGAACAGCATGAACGCCGTTCATTTAGCCTGAGCAACGGCGATGAACGCCGTACATTCAGCCTCAGCGACTATGAACGCCGTTTATTGAGCCTCAGCGCCGATGAACGCCGTTCATTGAGCCTCAGCGCCGATGAAGATCGCCGTCATTCAATGAGCATCACGAACGACGATGTCGATGAACTCGGTGCTTGTTTTGAATTAGGCTTTGGATTCGATTCGAATTCTGATTTGGATCCGAAGCTTACCAAAGCTTTTCCCGCTTTGGAGCTTTATCATGCTGTGAATAAGATATCTCGATCCTCTTCTTCGGTTTCAACGGTAACTTCTGACGGTGAAACTCCGTCATCTGTTGAAACCTCTGTCTCCATTGTTGAACCAGGTAAAATTAAATCAAATTTATCGACACCAACCTGCGCTAGAAAATTTTAAGTTTATGAGTTTTCAATTTTTCTAACCTATACCTGCTTTTGTAAATCTACCTAAAAAAATAGTGTTATTCTACAATAAATTTATTTAATAACTTTCCTTATTATACAAATATAAAATCTACTTAAAATTTGATTTATAATTAAATACTATGTATATTAATACTCCAATTACTTCGAATGTAAAACAAAATAAAATAAATAAATTGAAACAAAATTTGAACCGTGCTAATAATTTATTTTGTTTGTGAAGGTGCTGATGAGGAGACAATGAAACTGAAGCTGAAACAATGGGCAAAAGTTGTGGGTCTTTCTGTGCTTCCGCCCCCTTCTATCTCTAAATAGATTCAGAATTTAAAGTTATTAGTAATATTCGGTTATTAGAATATTACGTAGATGTGAAACTCTCTTGCAAGAGCGAGCAGGTTGCAAACAAGATGTATTATGCATGTTGTATTGATGCTCAGTTGAATAATAAATGGAACTGGATTCCTATTTACTCCATCTTTTTTTAAATAAAATTACTAGCTTAATTCGAACACATTATAACTGATACTAGTTATATATTTGCAATACCGTATATAATTAAAATTTGTTGATGATTAGGTCAAGTAGTAAATTTTACTTACAGATTATTGTTATTTTGCCAATGATCACAGGTCAGTGATTTAGTGATTGTACACTTACTGTAATTATACACAACAGATGCAACATTCTCGTGATTTTTATGGATTCTAGTTTGTCATATCTCAGATAAATTTTTAAAAGCTTTTTTGTTCTGCATGTGTCGGAATATTTCAGTGGTCTACATAGAATAAAGGATCGTGATATATTTCATTTGTATGTAAAATTATTATTTTCACGCATATATGTTAGATATATGTTGAGCCTTCTTTGTGTATTTATTTTTATATTTTAAATCTTTTAATAAAAATTCTATCCTGCCAATAATCTACCTGACCTACATCCACCGTAGTTGTTTATAAAAATATGTGCGTACAAATAACACTTAGTACGAGTGATGTTCTCTGACAATCGTTTTGTTTAATTTTATTTTTTTATTTTATTAAAAATATTTATATTTACTTTTACTTGTCCAGTTTAAAATATTACTAATAGATAATTGCTATTTTTACTACTTTTATTATCTTTATTTATCAACTTTTTATCTAATAAGTGAGATGAATACTTGTTATAATAATTAGAGTAATACAACAAAAATGGTCATTTTATGTATGGCTTCTCAAAGGATGGAACTTTTTTTTTCCCCATTGAAACCAAATGTTACGTTGTATGCAAATTGGGAAAATGCATATAGAAGTTAAGTCTGATGTTATAATTAAAGGCACTAGTAAAAAAATCGAAACGATTAATTTTTGGAAGCATGAATATTGAGAGGCTATATTAAATGAAATATATTATTTCCAATTTATATAAACACAAATTTTCTTTAAACGTTGTAGGAATCACGTGAGATCGCAAGTAAGATCATCAATAAGTTAATGGTAATTAAGCCGCTAGCTAAATCTATGATTAGTATTCTGTCTTTTCTTTATAAATATAAACATAAATAGGTATAAATAACTAAAGTCTAAACTAATTACCTCCTTTTTTACTAAAATTATAAATTTAAAAGTATTTTAAATTAAGAAATGACGGATTGAACATAAAAGCCTGGAAAGAAAAAAGTATGTATAGAAGAAAAAAATAATATTAAGGATACAATATTAAAAATTTGATTTAACAAAAAATATTTATAAATTGAAATATCATAAGTTGCATATTACCAACATAATTTTGGCTTATAAACGCTTAATTTATAATCATTTGTGTTCATCAAACACATACATATTGTTATTTTCACATAAAAAAATTAAGGAACTTTTGTTTTTTTTGTTGAACTATAAAATTAATTAAAAAAAAGAAGAAACATATCTTAATAATTTATAATATTGTCTTCTAACGCTAAAAAAAGGATAGTATCTCATTTGAGAATAATTGGGATATGTTATCTTTTTTTTATGCATGGAGCACTTCTAGAAACATGTGATATATATATTTCATATTTACAACGTAGATATAACCAATAATCATGTGTAATGAGTTTTGTTTTTTCTTTTTTACGTGTCTTTTCGTTAAAATATAAATTTAACAAAAAGAAATAAGAAATATATCTCAATAATTCATAATATTGTCTTCCAACGCTAAAAAGAAGACAATATCTCATTTGGGAATAATTGGATATGTTAATTTACTTTATTTTTTCTGCATGAAACACCTCTAGAAACATGTGATATATCATATTTACAATGTGAATATAATCAATAATCAAGTGTAACGACTTCTATTTTTTTTTCATGTGTCTTTTCGTTGAACTATAAAATTAACGAAAAAAAAGAAATATATCTCAATAATTCATAATATTGTCTTCTAACGCTAAAAGGAAGATAATATCTCATTTGAAAATAATTGATATATATAATTTTATTTTATTTTTTCTTCATGAAACACCTCTAAAAAAATAAACATGTGATATTATCGAATTTATAGTGCGGAGGTAATTAACCAATACTCACGTGTAACATAAAATGGACCAATTATTATTTTAATTAGTTCAATAAACACGTAATTATTACTCTCCATTTTGATTACTCATACTTTTACTTACGCATCCAAAAACATTATTACTGAAGTCTATATTATTTTAGCATATTGTGATATGAACCATTTTAGGTCAAATTACATTGGTATCTTTTTTTGGTTATACTATTTGATATGTGTTATTGAAGTTGAAATTTGTTTGAAAATAATTTTTTAACTATTGCTAGGTGAGAATAAGTTTTTATATTTTAGACTTAGAACTTACTCATTAGACTACATTAAATATATATTACTTTTACAATTTCTATTTAATTAAATATTATTATTATTTTTTCGTATTTTAATTTATATAATTTACCTTTTTTCATATATTTGAAAAAAATAACACATTTTTATATAAAGCGATAAAAATGTCATTCTCGTCCATTGCTAACTTGCTAGAGTTTCTTGAAACTAATTGGATAATTCGTCGTCATAAATTTTTATTTTTTATTTTTTTTGTTTCTATGCGTAAATAAAAATTATTTAAACATATTAAAAAGTAGTCTTGGGCTGCAATTACTATTTTTATTATTATTTTAAAAATGAATTAAAATATCTCAGAATTGTATCATAAGATATTTTCGAACTGTAGTTTGATGCTTTAATCATTATTTGTACATGTATAATCATGATAAGCATCTCTACGAGACTACGACTAAGTTTTGTTTATTTATCATTAAAAAAATAATTACTCTCTAATTAAGACTCATAAATTAATAAAATATCTTATATGAAAATGGGAACATATAATACTCATGTCCCACCAATAGTAATTGAATCATTTTGTTTCTTCTGATGCACATGTAAAGATATCATGTCCACCATATATATATTTTTTTGGTTATATAGGAGTATAACTTTTTGGATAAGAGATCAGTACAAAAAATACTACTATAAATAAATTATAATAAATATGAAACAGTTATAGGAGTTTTCTTTAACTGTAATTAATTAAATACAAACTGATATAATAATTAATTTTATGAGGACCAATTTATCTCATGTTTGCTTGATATAAAATCATAGGATGGCCTTCTCAAAGTTAAATTTAGATTTAGCTATCCCGTGAGTTGTTATTTTATTTTATTTTATATTAAAGATGAAATAAAATTTTGAAATAACTAACTTTGAAATTGTTTATTCTTTAATCAAACGAACTCTTATGTATTTAATTTTATGTTGGAGGAGGACATACACAGAATGTTTAGGTTAAATTTCACTACCATAGATTTTACTTTAATTTGCTAGGCTAAATAGTTTTGGAATAACGGCATCTATAGTTATTATGTTGTCAAATGTAATTGAATTTTTATGGTTTATCTAGAAGTCATTTCCACATTAAAAGCTAAAATCAGTCATAGAAAGAACTTATTTATACACTAGGAAATTACTTGAAGTTCTATCATAAATTTAAAATTAAACACGTTCATAAAAATGGAATAAAAAAGATAAAAGACGATGTGGTGGAGGATAAAAAAGAGATTTGTAACCTTCAAATAGGAAATAGCTAAACCTAATGGGATGATTTTTAAGAGTTATTTAGAAAGTAGTTGACATGTGGATTAGGAAAACATATTAATTAAGAAGATAAAAAAAAAAAATTATCAAAGAGGAAAAAGGTATTGTTTAATCTATTCCGAATTTTTGTATATTTACATTAGCAAACTTTACAATTATTAGATAATAATAATTTCCATTCAAAGAGGACTTAATGTATACTCTCCTGATTTGTCCCTATTTAGTTATCCACTTTAGAAAAAATACACATATTAATTTAATAATAATTAACATAATAAAGTTACAATTTTACCTTTATTAGATATGGTATCAGAAAAAATGAATTAAAACTTAGAAATTTTCTAGAATTAAATAAGGGTATATAAAGAAAAAAGTTATTTTCCTTTCTTGATTTATTAAATTGGACAAGTAAATAGGAACAAATATAAAAAAAAAAAATATAGACAAGTAAATAGGGACACAGGAGCGTCTTAGAATTTAATATGTATGAGACACATGACAGTAAAATAAGCAATGTAGAGTTATATATTTCAAAGTATCCCATAAATTTGGGTATTTATAAAGATTAAAATCTCGATATATTTCACAAAAGTCATGAAATATTCATATAGAGATTGAATCTAAATTATTATAGTTCGAGAAATACACCACTAACGGTCATTGAATCATAGATTATTCTTATGAGAGTAGAATCAAGGAATCAACAGAATTGTACCCGCATATTTATCAATGAAATCATATTTTTTTATATTTTATTTATTATTATAATTTATTTTCTGTCATTTTAAAAGTTATTGCAAACAGACTCAACTGAGATTTTAATTACTAGATCAATATTAAAATAATAATAATAATAAAAAGCAATGTAGAGTCGTACAGTTACAATGGTACAAGATTGAAGTTCATTAAAAAAAATAAAAATTAGCAGATATCCTGCTTATGAAGGCGAGAAATTGAACATGAAATAGAAAGAAGGAAAATATTAAAAACACCAAAAATAATATAGGAGAAAAACAAACAAAGTATAAAAAATAAGATTATACCCTCATTTTTTGAGAATAGAGTTAGTACTTTTAAAAATAACACAAATTTAAAAATTTATCTAATAAAATTACTAAATTTTATTTTGTAATAAAAAAATAAATAAACATGTCATCTGTATATATCTCTTTAATTTGTAGCAAATGATTAACTAATTTTAAAAAGGTATTATGTCCATTCAATTCAAATTGCATCAACAATATATCTATTTATTTCGAATTAAAAAGAACATGTTGGGTTGGAGATATTATTTAAATAATTTGATCACCTAATTGCACCCTATAGGAATTAAAATATCCTAATCATAATTGCATAAGATATTTTTGAGCTACAATCCGTTGATAAATAGTTATTTATTCGAAAGTATAATCATTATATTTTCAAATGCATTTACGAAAAATATTAAATCAATTTGAATTTGAAAGAATTAAATGAAATACATGCACATGATATGTTTTAATTTTATTTTCTTTATCAATTG